TTGCTATCATCTACCGCCACCCCGGTTATCCTAGATTATTCATTTAGCACTTTTCTTCCTGGCTTCCCCACTTCCTCTCATCTAGCACTCCTTCCCTTATACTTGGAGATTTAAATATGCCAATCAACAACCCCAATCGCACTGATGCCTCTCGTCTGCTCTCTGTAATCTCCTCCTTTGGCCTTATGCAATGGTCCAATTTAGCAACCCATACAGCGGGAAACACTCTTGATCTTGCTTTCACCAACCTCTGTACTGCCTCTAATTTCTCCAATATTCCTTTTCCTCTATCTGACCACCATCTGCTGACTTTTGACATCGTCATACCTAAGACTCAATTGACACCACCGTCTTAACATCACTCTCACAGAAACCTCCACTGTCTTGACCTAGAGCATTTCTCCACTAATCTCCAAACTCTCCTTTTATCTATCTCAAACCTCACCTGTCCTAGTTCTGCAACCTCCTTCTACAATTCCACCCTCTCCTCTCAACTAGACATCACGGCACCTTGTACATTTAAACTCCGCAGGCGCCCCCAACAACAACCCTGGCACACCAAGCTCACTTGATACCTCCAAAAATGCTCCAGAACTACTGAACGCTATAAATTTATGCTGAGCTCATACAGCTTGGCTCTTTCCTCTGCATAAGTTAATTGCTTCAATACCCTCAAAACCACACTCTCCCGCGAACCCAAACGACTATTTCACACATTTAACTCTCTTCTTCGCCCTGCTGTTTCTCCTCCACCTACTAACTTGACCGCCTCAGACTTTGCAACTCACTTCACTGACAAGATCTCTACAATCAGAGAAGAGATCTCTCATTTTTCTTCTTCCCCTTACAATACTTCCCCTAACTTCACTCCTTCTGCTGTTCTATGTTCATTCGCACCCGCTACATTGGAAGAGGTTTCTGCTAAGCTCCAGTCCTCCCGCCCCACCACCTGCTCCCTAGATCCAATTCCCTCGCATCTCATCCATACTCTGTCTTCTTCTCTTTCTCCACCTCTCACTAAAATTCTCAATCTCTCTCTCTCCTCTAGAATTGGGGTTACAGTTGCATGTTTGAAGGGCGATGGAAATATACCAAAGAAGCCCAATCTTGACCCTAACTCCCCATCCAACTATCGTCCTATCTCTCTACTGCCTTTTGCATCCAAGATCCTTGAAAGAATTGTGTATGCAAGAGTGACAGACTTCCTTGAGTCCAACTCTCTGCTAGACCCGCTTCAGTCTGGTTTCCACGCTAAGCACTCTGTGGAAATGGCACTGACCAAAATATACAATGATCTACTTGCTGCAAAATCTCGTGGTGACTACTGTATCCTAATTCTCCTTGACCTGTCTGCGGCTTTTGACACTCTTGATCATCAACAGCTTCTTCTCATCCTCTGCAATATCTGTCTACAAGATATTGCTCTCTCCTGGTGCTCCTCCTACCTCTCCCAGTGCTCTTTCAGTGTTTCTTTCTCTGGCTCTGCTTCTTCTCCCCAACTCCTCTCTGTTGATGTCCCCCAAGGTTCAGTCCTTGGTCCCCTACTGTTCTCCATCTATACTGCCTCCCTTGGTAAACTCATTAGCTCCTTTGGCTTCCAATATCATTTCTATGTAGAAATGATATTGTCCTCTCCTGATCTCTCCCCATCCCTCTTGACTTGTGTATCTGACTGCCTCTCTGCTATTTCTAACTGGATGGCTACCCACTTCCTTAAACTAAACTTGACCAAAACTGAAATTCTGGTCTTTCCTCCCTCAAGTGTTGTTACTCCTGTATCTGTCTCCCTTCAAGTCAACGGTGCTACCATCAGCTCCACCACGCAGGCTCGCTGCCTAGGTGTTCTCTTTGACTCCGACCTCTCCTTCAAGCCTTATGTTCAATCTATCACCAAATCCTGTCATTTCCTTCTCAAAAACATTGCGTGCATCTGTGGTGACATTCTGTCATCAAACTAATATGGCGACCAGGGGTAATGTGACCAAGCTCATGTATGCTTTTCTTACAGTGGGATAAGCTTTACCCTTTGATATGGTAATTGGGTAATTCAATACCTTTACAAGTCAGGAAAGAGGTAACCACTTCCCCCTATCTCCATTCCTCCCTGTTCCTTCTTGGCTGTGCTACTGAGCAGACCCTTAAGCAGACATGGCCTAATTTCTATCATGGTGAACTGTGAGTGGGATCTGGTGATTTTATAAGATGTAGTTGTTATTGTTAGTTAGGTTGCTGTTGCTGTTGTTGTTGGTGGTGGTGGTATAGTTAGATTGTGTGTCATTATTTGTATGTTGTTGTTGTTTTGTCTCTGAATAAATATTTGTTAAAGTAGACGGACCAGAGTTTATATGTGTATGCGTACATAATAATTTATAGAGTTTGGTCAATTATTTTTTATGCTTTGAGTAGGTTTTCATATATATATTACAAAATTATTGCACTCATTCATTTTTTAATTTACAATATGTAGTAGTGTGTAAAACTGAATATAGTTTTACACAAAAGAGTTAATGCTACTTTTTATCCAGAAATGTCTCTCTGTTATGAGCTATGTTTTGTGCTCTTGATGTTTAATCATGATGAGTGGCAAAACCAATCAGCAAGCAAAGCTAGACTAACAATGTGATTCACTAAACTGCTAGGCGAGAGAAGTGAGACTTACCGGCCAGAGAACTCTGATTGGTTGGCTTAGAAGGGCCACAGCGCTCTACTTTATAAAGGCTTTTCCCACATTGAAATCTCATTCTGCTGAGAACCCTCGAGGGACTAACCTGAATCTATTTTTGATGTGGAGGTTTTTTTTGTATGATTTATATTTTTTTGAGAATCTGGTCTATTTTTATTTTAATAGTAACATCAGGATGTAATAGCTTTTTGGGGGAGTTTTGAAGAAATTAAGACTTTAGAAGAAAGAAAACATCTGATGGTAAGTAATTTTCTTTTAAGAGATAGGTAGGTTTCTAGCACTTGATATACAGTGTAGAAGACAGCTTCAACAATCCAAACCAGAGTCTCTCTTCTCTGGTCACAGATATAAGGTATGGAAAGCAGAAGGGAGCAGCACCTTGGTGGGGTCCTCAAATCCAAGTTAAAGTGCAACTAGAAAGAGAGAACAACAGAAAAAGGAATATAGTGTAGTAGACTAATGATTTTGATGTGGAGAAAAAAACAAAAATCGCACTTACAGTAAACTAGCTCCACAATCCCTGCCTAAGGATGTGGACTTGATGTCTTAATCCAAAAGGGTATAGTCCAGGTATATAGGGAAAGCAGAGCAATAACACTAATATCAGTATGTTTGTTGTCCAAAGTTGTGGATAAAAAGTATAAAAAGTGCGCACTCACATCTTATGGAACCTTCTGATAGCTCCTTATGTGGATCATTGAGTGGAATAATCCCCACTCTTGCATATATGTGCAATTCTCACTCTTGGAGGTATTTAGATATAAATCATCAAAAATTAAAGATAATTAAAATTGAGGACTATGGCACAATAATAATATTGGGGATGTAAAGTAGAGGTGTACCAAAATGGCCGTGGCCAAACCAATCACGTGTTGAGGTTGTTAAATCCCATATCATTGTTCTTTATGGTTAGTGGATTAACCCTGCTTTCTGGCAATCCTAGGGAGGGGGCTGCAAACTTGTTATTAATGAAGAATGCTATTATAGTAAATATTTATGCTGCCAAATGGATTTAATCATATAAATCTATAAAAAAAAAAAAAGAGTTAACTTTTTCCTTGCTTATCTTGCTTTTGCATAGTTACATCAGCAAAAAAACAAACATTTCATGTTACAGCCCTTTATCAAGAGCATGTGTGCTCATTCACATGTGGACTCTAACACAATATTTTTATTTCATGATACTATTTTTCTCTTGTACCAATCTTCATTCAGCTCTGCAAACAGCAGTCTAGTTTCAGTAAATTTTACAGCCTACTCCCCTTCCATAGTGGAAATGAAACCTAGTAGTGATAGCAAATGTAGTTATTATGTATAAATCAACATGGAGTTTGGCGCAATACAAACAGCAAATGAGATATTTTGACAGTCAATATCTGCCTGTAAATCTAGTTAATTTGGAATGGATCACATATAAATTGGGCAAAAAAAGTTTAAAAAAAAATGCTTGTACAAAATGATTGTGAAACGATAATAAATGGATTCTTATTTACTTTTATGTTTGTCTTTTTAATATACAGACAATACAAAGGGAGCTTGCGTGTAAGACTAATATATGTTTGCATGTGTGTTTCTTGGTTTATGACTTAAGTTCTGCCACAAACATCTGGGATATATTTTTACCACACAGAAAGCATCCTTGACACATAAGAAAACGTATAATTTCAGTTCAGCATGACAGGCCTAGAATATATGCATCCTTATAATCAGTTGTAAAAAGTGTACATCTGGTCTGTTTTCCAATCACCATGAGCCTCTAAAAATTGAGAATTAATCCAAGAAAAGGTTTGTATTTGTTTAAAAAAGAAACATATTTTTCAGAAAACTGAAATATTATTTGATTACATTTTTTTTTTATATAAATAAACGAACCTTGGTTTTTTGGTACAAGTCTAACAATATAAGAATTATATATATAATGTATATAACAAACTACAGACTCGAGTGCATCTGGAAAATGTTAACTTTTGATAGCCTTTTCAGAATTGCATTTCTTGAAGAAGAGATAAATTAGAGAAACACTGTCAGCCCTATAATGCTTCAATTGATTGAAGTGGTTATGGTACCTTGAGTACTACTAAATGGTTTACTCACTACTTAGCAGAGACTTGTTTCCCAGTAGAATACAGCCTGGCCTCCAAACGAGGATTTTGTGGAGGTAAAGTTATGTTTACGCCTCTAACCATAACAATATACACCAGGGGGGCGTGGCCTGGACTCCAGCACGGATGGTCGCATGAACGCCAAGCTCCATGTGTAACTGGATGTAAAAAGTGAAACCCGGCAATAGAGACTATGGCATCTAAAAAACATTGCAATGCAGCGAGGAACATCCCCGCCAACAATTCAATGTCCTCCAAATTCTCCCTACGCAAGGTTCTTCTCCAACCGCACAGAGCCAGAGCAGCGCGGCAAAATGGTGCCTCCACGCAAACACGAGGCAGTCAACCAAGATGACACCGACATCATAGCCCAAATAACCCAGCTCCCGTCCAAAACGGACCTTGCGGATTTGTTCCAGAAGCTGGAGGAGAGCTTTGGCGTAAAGTACAGTGCTGTCAGCTCCGAAGTACAGCACCTGGGAGATAGAGTACAGGCTCTGGAGGATGAGGGGGGAGACCTCCGAGCAGAAATGGACTGAATGCCACACTACCCAGAGGCTGCATGCAGAGGCAATCATACACCTCCAAAGTAAGCTGAAGGACATGGACAACAGGGGTCGGAACAACTTGCAGGTGATGGGAGTACCGGAAAGCCCGGAAGGCACTTCATAAAAGCCCAGAAGGCACTTCAATAAAATTTTAACTCGACCATTAGACACAGTAATCTAATTTGACAGGGCCCACAGAGTGGCACGGCCCAGGAACCTATCACAAGACAAGCAACATAACCTCATTTGCCGCATACACAACTTCCCACTGAAGGAAGAAATTCTCCGTAAAGCCAGCCAAACCCATGAGTTACAATTCGAGGATCACCGAGTGGGCATTTACCAGGATCTGTCACCCACCACCTTGCTGGCTAGGAGGGCGCTCCGGCCTATTACCCAGATCCTCCTGGACAAACATATACAATTTAGATGGAGATTTACCTTCGCACTTGTGGTGATGCATCAAGGCAAGAGTTACTCCATAAACACCCCAGCAGATGTCCCTGACTTTCTACAGGCCTCGGGCCTACCGCCCATAGAAGTTGAGGACTGGACTGGATTCTCCGGACACACTTTCAAGCAACCACTGCAGAGGCCCAGATGGCAGAGGACACCTAAGAAACGCAGGCAACATGTCCCTCCAGGAACCGATAACCCTTCCATGCCTGGAAGCAAAGTCACCTGAGGACTCTCTAAAGGGTGAAACTCATACATCCTTTGTGCTAATAAGCCACACGACATCACACATAAATGTGATCCAATAGTTAATTTCATGTTGCCATATGTTTTTTAATTATGTTATGTTATGTTATATGTGTATGCCGGACTCTAGGGGCCCGAGGGGACCAGCTCCGGGTAAAATCGAGGAGTACTTGCTGTGCACATGTCTTACATATGCAAAGCTATCAGTGCCCTCTCAAATGACTCTAACAACTTCATCCAGTTCCCCCTACGGTACCTAGACAACCTACCCCCCGAGCGGTTCCCCGAGACCACCTGTGGACACGTAAACGTTTCCCACAGGGGTGACACCATTCTCATGGTTGGTATGATTACCATCACTCATACATATGTATTTAGTTTGTATTACCCCCCTGCCTACAATATTACCCCACGTTATTTTATATCCACTATCTTCAATCACACTCAGCATGGTGCTCAGCATAGATCGCAAACTCAAAAGCTAAATATTTTTTGTCCCTTCTATGGCCCAGGTTAAACTTCTGTCCCTGAATGTAAAAGGGTCTCAATGCCCCAGAGAAGCGCTGTATATTGGCACAGGAACTAGACAGGCAAAAAGCAGACATAATGTTTATCCAAGAAACCCACTTCAGGGGTGACTTCCAACCAAAATTGAATGACCAGCTTATTACCTTAGTGAATGTGTATGCCTCTAACTCAGGCCAGGTTTCTTTCATACGCTCTTGTCTAAGGAAGTTGGAATGATTTGCAGAGGGGATGCTAGTGGTGGGGGGAGACTGGAACATTGTCTTGGACTACGCCATAGACTTGATACATTTGGATCCCTATCTAATTTTAAGATCAACGCTGATAAGTGTGAAACATTAGGGTTATCAGTTCCTCCGAGATGACAGACACACATACAAGACACACATAAATTCAAATGGAAGGCCACTGGCCTCACTAAGCTGGGGATCCGCTTAGGCACAAACCACACAGACTAATACGAACTGGATTACCCTTCCTCTCATTGAAGGCACGAAAAGGGATCTTAAAAATGTGACTTGCCCTATTTCTTGTTAATAGGACGGGTTATCCAATGCATCTTGGATGTAAAAACCCAAGGGCAGAGTACAGAATAGTTGATAGAGTCCTAACCTCAACATCTGAGGAAAGGGATTTAGGGGTGATTATTTCTGATGACTTAAAGGTAGGCAGACAATGTAAAAGAGCAGCAGGAAAAACTAGAAGAATGCTTGGTTGTATAGGGATAGGTATTAGCAGTAGAAAGAGGGAAGTGCTCATGCCATTGTACAGAACACTGGTGAGACCTCACCTGGAGTATTGTACACAGTACTGGAGACCGTATCTTCAGAAGGATATTGATACCTTAGAGAGGGTTCAGAGAAGGGCTACTAAACGGGTTCATGGATTGCAGGATAAAACTTACCAGGAAAGGTTAAAGGATCTTAATATGTATAGCTTGGAGGAAAGACAAGACAGGGGGGATATGATAGAAACATTTAAATACATAAATGGAATCAACACAGTAAAGGAGGAGACTATATTTAAAAGAAAAAAAACTACAACAACAAGAGGACATAGTCTTAAATTAGAGGGAAAAAGGTTTAAAAATAATATCAGGAAGTATTACTTTACTGAGAGGGTAGTGGATGCATGGAATAGCCTTCCAGCTGAAGTGGTAGAGGTTAACAGAGTAAAGGAGTTTAAGCATGCGTGGGATAGGCATAAGGCTATCCTAACTATAAGATAAGGCCAGGGACTAATGAAAGTATTTAGAAAATTGGGCAGACTAGATGGGCCAAATGGTTCTTATCTGCCGTCACATTCTATGTTTCTATGTTAATATCCCAAAGATGATGATCCTGCCCAGGTTGCTGTATTTGTTTCAGGCCCTCCCAATCCCTGTACCAGGATTATTCTTTCGCACTATGCGAACAACTTTCATGACCTATATTTGGGAAAATAAGATGCCACACCTAGCCTACGACACTATTAGTAAGGGGGGCCTACGCAGGGGCGTATTAGCCGCGAGGCAAACAAGGCATTTGCCTTGGGCGGCATTTTTCAGGGGGCGGCAAAAAACGCCGCCCCCCAAATGCCCATGGCAAATGCCTAGTTAGCCTTGCGGCTAACTGACATCCCGGGCGGGCGGCGCTGGCAAGCGGGCGGCCGGCGAGGGAGCTCTTCCCCTGAGCTGACTGCTCAGCTCCCTCGCGCGCCGGCTGCAGAGTGAGGCTGGGAGCCGGAAATCCGGCTCCCAGCCTCACTCTGCAGCCGGCGCGCGAGGGAGCTGAGCAGTCAGCTCAGGGGAAGAGCTCCCTCGCCGGCCGCCCGACCGGCAGCCAATGGACCACCGGACGACCAGGGAGAGAGACCCCCCCCCAGCACTCCCAAAGGTAAGGAGGTTGGGGGGGGATTTAAATAAAAAAAAGTTAATGTGTGTGTGTGTGTGTCTGTCTGACTGTGTGTGTGTGTGTGTGTCTGACTGTGTGTGTGTGTGTGTGTCTGACTGTGTGTGTGTGTTTGTGCCTGACTCTATGTGTGTGTTTGTGTCTGACTGTGTGTGTTTGTGTCTGACTGTGTTTGTGTGTTTGTGAGTGTGTGTATGTGTGTGTCTGACTGTGTGTGTGTTTGTGCCTGACTCTGTGTGTGTGTTTGTGTCTGACTGTGTTTGTGTATGTGTGTGTTTGTGTCTGACTGTGTTTGTGTGTTTGTGAGTGTGTGTATGTGTGTGTCTGACTGTGTGTGTGTTTGTGCCTCTGTGTGTGTGTTTGTGTGTGACTGTGTTTGTGTATGTGTGTGTGTGTGAGTGTTTGTGTCTGACTGTGTGTGTGTGTTTGTGTCTGTGTATGTGTCTGACTGTGTGTGTGTGTGTGTTTGTCTGTGTGTTTGTGTGTTTGCGTCTGACTGTGTGTGTGTCTGACTGTGTGTGTGTGTGTGTCTGACTGTGTGTGTGTTTGTGTCTGACTGTGTGTGTGTGTATTTAGAAGGTGGGGCGGGGGGAAGGGTTGGGTGGGGGTGGCGCGTGGGGCGCCTGAGTTTTGTCCTGCCTAGGGCAGCACAAAACCAGGATACACCACTGGGCCTACGGCACTTATATAGATACTATGTGGCAGTTTTGCTCACGAGAATAAAAGAATGGACAACCATAGACAAGAAAAAATCCTTGTACGGCTTAGAAGAGTTTTGCAAAGGTGCCCCTCCACACACTCCATGGCAAGCCTGTCACATCCAGACCCTCTCCCCTACTACGCACCCCCTTATACACCACATGCTCTGAATTTGGAGAAGACACAAAAACACATGGAAACTAGCCCCTGGGATATCTCCGTTCTTCCCTCTGGCAAACAACCCTGACTTTCAGAATGGACAGGGCAGCACGATCCGGTCACCACTGACGGGGGACCCAGACCATAAAGTCATATACATAAAGTCTTGACAGGTGACGACCCCCCTAGAGTCAAGGAATTTCATAGACCAAACAGACATATGACCTTACTGGACACTATGGGCATGGCACAATTAAGATACTTCATACACAAATCGGTAACGCCATTATGGCAACCTAGAGACAAAACTCCTTTTGAACTTCTATGTGGACCAGGCAGGGACCACAAACGCCCAATAACCAAAACATACTGAGTGCTTCAGGCTGAGGGTTAGGGGTAGGTTTAGGGTAGGATTAGGGTTTAGGGATAGGGGAATGGTTAAGGTTAGGGAATTGCCAAAGTCCCGAAGTGCCAAATTGCCGAAGTCCCAAATTTTGGAAGTGCCGAACCGAACCGAACCAAAGTGCCGAATAGCAGAAGCCCCAAATTTTTGCCCATGCACATCCCTACTCATAACCAGCCTGCCTGTGTGTATATATTGGTTTAGACGATGGAGCTCCCACACCAGACCACCTGGGATCCAGATCATCCTCCACTGGACCAACAGGAAATATAAGTAGGAGAAGGGGCAAACATACACACAAAACAATTAGACTCCCCTGCACACAAACAATTCAGCCACCACACACACACAACAGTCAACCACACACTTCCACCAACACAGCTCTCACCTTCCTCCACACACACAACCCTCATCCACAAAACACACCTATGCACATTCTTACACACAACAATGTCAACACATATACCATTCACATGAACCATGGGTTCTGTTATGGTGTCCCAATTTGCCACCCTGCCTGTGGCTCTGGGAAACCTTAATCCATCTTTGCAGGTCTCTCAACAGTTCTTATTTGGTGGGACAGTCTTGATTTCATCCCTCTGTCTTGACACCAG